TATTTGTCTTTAAATATTAGTTTTATTTATTTTAAAAAATCTAAATTTTTGAAATAGTATCTTATGATCAAACATTAAGCTCTTTACAATTTTCAAGATTCTCTTCCCTGCCTTTCTTCATGCTACATTTAATTTTAAATGAGCATATGTGTTCAGGAATTGATCTTGAGTTGAATCAACTGAAAATTATTTTAACTATTAAAGGCAGTAAGATCAGTGCTGGGATTACAAAATGAATAAGATTTAGAACTCATCTAAATCATAGTAGTAAAATAAAAGTACACATAGTAGTAAAATAAAATCATAGTAGTAAAATAAAAGTACACATAAAATTATGTTGATTTTTCTAACATGCCATAGTGTCAGTGATAAATTTTCTACCAAAATAACCTATATATTAATTTATTACTAATTTCAACTAAATTTATTAATTTCTCTAAAACAGTTGTCTCTAACTTTCCCAATTTTGACACTCCTTCCATGCAATATATTAGTAATTGCCTTTTTCTTGCTCCCCATAATCTGGGAATCATTAATCATCAGATCAAATGAATTTTTCTTTTACATTCATCTGTTCATTTTTCTCCTCTGCTATCATAGTTCTAGACTATAGATTTTAGAATGGAGTTATTGCAATGGACTTTCTTTCTTTTCCCTCCATTTATTCTTTCTTCTCCTCTCCTGCTTTTCCTCTGTCCAGGGCTTTGTGGGCCTTGTACGTGCTAAAGCATATGCTTTATCACTGAGTGTCACCTCCAGTCCTGCAATAGCTTTTCAAAAATCTCTACTACCTTTCCAGTTTCCTGTTTAAAATAATTTAAGACAAGGAGTATTTGCAAATGAGATAATTAAGAAAAAGTTGAGGGCTGGGGTTGTGGCTCAGTGATAGAGCACTTGCCTAGTACATGTGAGGTTTCAATTCTAAACACCACATAAAAATAAATAAATACATAAATAAAGATATTGTGTCCATCTACAACCAAAAATTAAAAAAAAATGAGTGATAGTGTTGAATGACAGGAGAAAAGGTTATAACTCCCTTGACAAGGATGGAAAAGCCATTGGGCCAGACAGTAGGAATAAGATTAAGACATTACCACTTTCTTCTATGACATCTAACCATCATTTTTTCAGAAAAATAGAAGGGACATTGGAAGAGTAGAAGTGTGCTTTGCAGGTAGGGGGACCCATTGGGGAGGAAGGAGGCAAGGGTAAGGGGAAGAACTGGGGAATGTAGTTTTATATATTTTATATGTAACCATATATTTTATATGTAACCAATTTTACATGTAACCATAATGCGTCCAGTGAAAAATAAGTCCATAGAAGGAAGATCAATAGAAAAGAGGAAGGGAACCAGAGAGGAAGCAAAGGAAAGGGAAGAGGTAAATAGTATTAGGATTGAAATGGAGAAAACTATGTTACTTCTTTTATGAATATGTCAGAATGAATTCTACTTTTATGTATAACTATAATGTACTGAAAAATAAACTTTAAAAAGTCAAGGATAAAACAAATTCTTGAATTTGTTTTATGCTTGACTTTTTTTTGTTCAGGAGGATTGCAAATTCAAAGAAGCCTCAGCAACTTAGTGAGACCATGCTTCAAGATAAAAAATATAAAAAGGGCTGGGGATGTGCTCAGTGGTTAAGTGCCCCTGGGTTCAATCTGTAGTACTAAAAGAAAGGAAAAAGAAAATTTACCCCTTTGGAACCATATCACTCAATATAAAGGTAAGTCTAAAAATGTTGCTGTCAAATTACTATATGTATTAATTTATTTGATGGTACCCTCCTAATGAATGTTCTATTCATTAATAAGATTAATTTGCCTGTGTGTGTGTGTGTGTGTGTGTGTGTATGTGGTACTGACATTGAATAGGGCATTAAGCACACTAGGCAAGCATTCTACCACTTAGCTACACCTACACTGTGTTTAGCCTTAGATTTTAATTTTTTTAAAAGCTAGCTACTTATTCTACCTTTTAAAAGTCTTGGTATGATATAAAAACGTTTGTAATCTGAATAAAGCTGTTAATTAAAAAATGGAAAAAACATGATGGTGATACATCTTATTTGATGTATCTTATTTAATTCTTATTTGAAATGGGTTATTTACTTCAGGGGCATTGCTGGAGTCTAATTTGCTATTAAACCATAAATTACACAAATAATATGTGAATATATTCTTATTATTAAAAATATCAAATAGGCACTCTCACATCAATCAGACCAATCTTTGTTGTTATCTTTGTTATTTACAGGAGTCCAGTTACTTGCTCTTCTAGTTCCCACTTTGATTTCTTACCTGCTGGATGAAAATACTTTTGCCTCAGCAAGTTCAGTTTCTAAATATCTTCATGAGTTTGTACTCCAGAACTTAATGCATATTGGATCTCAGTATCCACATGCTTTCAAGACGGTAATGAGGGCTGCTCCTGAGTTGAAAGTGCGGCTAGAAACTGCTGATGAAGCGAGCCAAGCCAGCAAGGCTAGAGCTGCTGTGAGGCAGCCAGCTCCTACCGGACATTCTGCACTGAAAATCAAGCTAAAAATAAGCTTTTTTAATGTGTTCCTCCACTCATTTTTATATGTATTTCACCGAATTAGTGGTAGCCACTGTACCATTCCAGGCTATGGATTCTATATTATTTGTATATTGGTATTATAATGCTTCCAAGAAGGTTAAGAAAGTCTTGTTCATACCACTATTGATTTTAAGTGATTTTTAAAAATTATGTGGTGAGTATGTTTTCATTTTTCTGCTAATAATGTTTCTCTTTTATTAATTTTTCATTGTTTTGTTTTTGGTTTTTGTGGTGCTGGGGATTGAACCCTGCACCTTGCACATGCTAAGCATACACCGTAATACTGAGCTATACCCCCAAGCCCTAATTTATTTTTTAAACACTGAACCATAGTCTTTTACATGCTGAATACACAATTGTATCGTGTACTGGGACAGAATGTGGACATTATCAGGGGAAAAAATAGGTCAAAATTTGGCATTTGTTATGAAAAATTCCATTGCAAAATAAGTAAATTTTACATTTTCAAGAAACCAAAATAATATAAAGTCTCTTTCATGGTGTACCTACTATGAATAAAATCAAATTTTTTAAACATTGCTCAAAATATTATCTTCTGATATATCTGTTCACTTTAATATTAAATTACTGAATTGTGTTTGTGTATATTTTAGTTGTTAATTTAATTAAAGTTCTCATCTAAAGGTCCATTAAAATGTTTCTAATGTAGTATAATTTTTCTACCTTTTTTATGTTTTGTAATTACAGAGACTCAGGTTCTGACTGTGATGGTTAGTTTCATGCATCAAATATTTATTGAATGCCTACTGTGTATAAGGCATCAAGATAAGTGCTTCAGGGCATACAAAAATAAGGTAGTCATAATTATAGTTATGATAGTCTCTTATGCGATGGGAATTTTTCCTTGCAAAAATAGATAATTGATTAAATGAATGTATACCACAGCATTTAGCAGATTTTAAACACCAAATTTTATCAGAAAATGTAACATAGACTATATCAAAAGCAAGTGACTTTTCTGAATATTTCAAGCTATATATTTATTTATCACTTGCTACTTGCCATTTATTCTCATCATACCTACACCATTTGGCAGCTAGCTTATAGATCCTTGCATTCTTCCTGGCTCAGTTTTTTAAATACCTCAGAAAGTCACTTTCTCTCACCTGTTTTCTCACTGACTTTTATTTCTACAGAGTTGTTTTTCATTTCTGACGTGTTTCCAAAGTTATTCTTCTTGTTTTTGTTTTTGTTTTTAATTTTGATAAAAGTCTATAAAATGACTTCACATATTATACAATTTATCTATTTAAAGTGTACCATTCAGTTGTTTTTATTATAATCACAGGGTAGTACAACTCTCACTATAGTCAATTTTGAACATCTTAATTACTCCCAAAAGAAACTCCATATTCTTTACCTGTCATCTCACAATTTTCCATTTCCCATCAGCCTTAGGCAACTGATAATCTACTTTCTGTCTCTATAAATTTGCTACAGTGGTATTTCATATAAATTAAATCATATAATATGTGGTCTTTTGTGACTGGTTTCTTATCTGTGCAGAATATTTCAAGGCTCATCCATGTTGTAGTGTGAATCAGCAATCCATTCCTTTTTATGGCTGAATAATATTCCATTGTATATATGCCACATTTTCAACTGATATATTTTATGAGTTGAAGGACATTTGGTTGCTTTCATTTTTTGTCTGTTATGAATATGATGCTCTGAATAATTATGTACCAGTTATTGTGTTGATATAAATATTTGTATACTTATATATATATAATTTTTTTGTTTTGGGTACTGGAGATTGAACCCAGTGGTGCTTAACTACTTAGCCACATCCACAGCCTTTTTTGTTTTATTTTGAAACAGCATCTCACTACGTCCTCAGGGCCTCACTAAATTGCTGAGGTTGGTCTTGAAATTTCTATCCTCCTGCCTCAGCCTCCTGAGTCACTAGGATTACAGGTGCACACCACCATGCCCAGCTGGATACATATTTTAATAACTTTTGAGTATATCCCTAGGAGTGGAATTTCTGACTCAAATCGTAACTTTATATTTAACTTTTTAAGGCACTGCCAGACTGTCTTCTAGTCTCATTTTTTTGAATACGTGCATGTATTTCCTTTTCAGTCATCTGTTTATATATTTATTTCTGCCTTGGCTATTTTTTGCTGTTCTTGGTACCTCTCAAACTTTACCCATCATTACCCCTTCTAGGGTAGACTGCATCATATCTTAGTAATGTCTCTCTTCCGCTCCTCCCTGCCTCTCTCCTTTTCTCTCTCTCTCTCTCTCTCTGTTAGTACATTTTTATTCTTTCTCTAAAACTTCTTAAGCCATTGATAACAGAAAATGGTCAAATAGTATTTTTTTTCTTTATACAAAATCATATCAAAGTAGACTTCAAGCCAAAGTTAATAAAAAGAGATAAAGACAGATATTACATACTCCTTAAGGGAACCATGCATCAACAAGTCATAACAATTATAAATCTATTCGTCCCAAACAATGGAGCATCTACATTCATCAAACAAACTCTTCTCAAGTTCAAATAAACCACAACACAATAATTCTGGTTAACTTTAACACACCTTCACCACTAGCTAGATCTTCCAAACAAAAGCTGAACAAAGAAACTATAGAACTCAATAATACAATCAGTAACTTAGACTTAACTAACATATATAGAATGTTTCATTCAATAAGAAAATGCACTTTCTTCTCAGCAGCACATGGATCCTTCTTTAAAATATACCCTGCTATCACACAAGCAACTCTTAGCAAATACAAAAAAGTAAAGATACTCACCTGCATTCTATCAGATCATAATGGAATGAAATTAGAAATCCATGATAAAAAAATAAAAGTTACTACAACACCTGGAGACTAAATAATATGCTATTGAATGAACAATGGGTTGCAAATGACATCAAAGAGGATATTAAAATTTTCTTAGAGGTAAATGAGAACACTAATACAACATTGAAAAATCTGGGACACTATGAAGGTAGTACTAAGAGGAAAGTTCATGGCATGAAGTTCATTCCTTAGAAGAAGAAAAAGTCAAATAAATGAATTAATGTTACATCTTAAAGCCCTAGAAAAAGAATAATAAATCAACACCAAAAGCAGTAGAAGAGAAGAAATAATTAAAATCAGAGCTGAAATCAATGAAATTAAAAAAAGAAATAATTTAAAAATGACGAAACAAAAAGTTGTTTCTTTAAAAAAAATGAATAAATAAATTGATAAACCCTTAGCTATGCTAACAGAGGGAGAAAACTCAAATTACTAACATCCATGATGAAAAAGGAAATATGTTCATATAATTCTTATCTTTAAATGTATTGATGTGATTAATTACATTTATTGATTTATTGATGGACACTACAGGAAGAAATTTCCAATTTGCCTGTATTATTATTATTTATTGACAGGCACTACAGGACAGCATACAGAAGATAATCAGAAATTATTATGAAAATTTGTACTCCAATAAAACAGAAAATATCAAAGGCATTGACAAAAATCTAGAGTCATATGATGAATGTGGATGATATACACAATTTAAACAGATCA